TTTTGATACTCTTATTAATAAGCAATTATTTTCTTAAAGGATATTGTCAGTCTGTCCAATCATTGTGCAGAAAATGCGGGTAAATTCAAATCAAAATTATTTCAACAAATGTATGAATATTTCAAAAGCCTAAGGCAACAAAACAGTCCCCAGGGATTTCTATAAAATAATTAAGTTTTCTGTAATTTCTTAAATCATTCATGATCTTATGATTGATTAAATCAACTCGATCATTTACACCCAGTACGCAGAAATACACGTATAAAGCCAAATCTTGTCAAAATGTACAAAAAGTCCGGCACTTTTTGTCGGCACTAACGATGTATTTTTTTCCTTATCCGATTATTTCATTCGCATCTAATCGATGTCGATGATTCATTGACGAGATTAGCATACGATTATATATGGATGGATTTAAAAAAAAAAAGCTTTTCTACAAAATTATTATTTTCTAAATCAAGAATTAAAGGTGAAAGCTTAGTTGTAATAAAACGCTTGTAAATAAAACATTTTTTTGTTGTTAATTATATACCTATAGAATTCAATTCAAATAAATAATATGTAATGCGATTGAAAAAAAAGTTAAATTTGGAAATTTGTCTTCTATATACGCGTTCTGCTATATTTTTTTTTATTTCCATACCTTTTTTTTTTGTTTTTGAATTTTTTTTTTTTCTTTCTAATTCAACAAAAAGTTTTGTTGGCTATTCGATTACACACTCGACTACGGTCGGCTAGATTCCATTGTCTTTAGACAGTGCCAGTACAGAGAAGATAGGAAAAAATACTATAGACATATTTCCCGAATTAATAGAGAAACACATTGTATATTTACTGTAAAAATACTGCAAAAAAAAAACCTAAAATGCTTAACTACATCAAAATTTAAAATAAAACTGCATTGATTTCTTCAAGATGCTAACGACATGTTTTTTGTCTTCCGATATGTTTTTTGATCGCATCTAACCGAGGCGGAGATCCACTAATTACACGATTATACCGTGATAAATATACACATAATAATAATAATTGTTGTAGCGGTCAAAATGTGAATAAGATCGTTAAGTTACTTCACGTTCGTTTGTGAATATTTTGTATTGCAATTAATGTGTCATAATTTATGATAGATCGTGATTAAAATTCTCATCCATACTACTTGGAGCCACTGCGGTCATCGACAGTGCGTTTCCAGAGATCTTTTTTGCCACGTACCATCCGGCTATGGAACGAGCTCCCCTCCACGGTGTTACCCGAGCGCTATGACATGTCCTTCTTCGAACGAGGCTTCTGGAGAGTATTAAGCGGTAGGTAGCGGCTTGGCTCTGCCCCTGGCATTGCTGAAGTCCATGGGCGATGGTAACCACTCACCATCAGGTGGGCCGTATGCTCGTCTGCCTACAAAAGCAATAAAAAAAAATGTTGTATTCGTTATTTCTGATGTTTTTAGTACATTGTGAAAATTGAATCCGGAACCCGTTGGAACATTAGAAGTAATAAGTCTGTCTGATTTTTTGTATTATTTAACAAATCAGAACAGATAATGAAAGTGAAAAAAGACGAATTACTAATTAGGTTACATCTGTTGCGTTGTAGTGAGTGTATTGTAGGATTTAGCTACCTATTAACATAATACATACAATCTTCTTCTTCTTAACCTTATCCCACTTTATGTGGGGTCAGCGCAGCATTTCCCCTTGTCATGCTGCATAGTGATTTGGCATAATTTTTACGATAGGCTGCCTGTCTAACGTGAGCCCATCTCGGGCTATATCTCCAGTAGTATATCTACTGCAACTTACCATAGTAAATATTTCTGTTTCTTTTTTTTGTGTTTCTTTAACTTCATCCATAATTTCACAATCGCTATCTATTACGGTGACTTAATTAAATTGATGCATATAGAATATATTACATGAGCATTATCTCATTAATAACTAATTGGGCATTTAAACGTCTTTGCTATTTCAACCAACTAAACTATTGTCGTATTTGATCTAATCTCAACGTTCATACATTTATGTAAATTACAGTCCACCATACTTGCGTTTCAGTATAGAACTTGGAAATTACCATTGAAATAATTTCGAACGATATGACTCATACGAAAAATCGGCTCTTAAAATATTTATAGCCCATCACAAAACCCTTTAAACATGCGGTCAAAATAATTGTTCCAAACATTTACAGAGTCCAACACGCCGAGTGTTCATAGCTGAAAAACAATTTGATGGTCCGTTTTTAATATATGTGGTTCCCCGCATGCATGGATCCCGCGGCCCGACCGTAATATTAACATATTCTAATGTTTGACGTTTAATTTTGGTTGGTAAAATTTACAATTGAATGTCTGAAAGAATTGTTGTTATTTTTTTTTTGTAGATGAAGACGCCTCAACATCGCTGCTTACGCTATTTTATATACCGCATATTGAGTGCATGGAATACGAACTTTTCTATGCGATAAAAGTTTGTCATTAGGTTAAGTCAACGACAAATTTCTTGAAGTAACTAAACGTTTGAAGCTGGATTAGGCATTATCATTCATTATGGTATTATGCTCGCAGACGCTTACAGCCGTGTCCTCAGACGTTTACAGTTCCACATAGACCTTTCCCAAGGCTCGCCGCAATGACTTAGTCCTCCACAGCCCGCATCCAGTGCGTTCCCGCGATCTTTAGCGGGTCGTCCGTCACTACAATTTAAGAAATAGTTTTTTTTATTGCTTAATTGGGTGGACGAGCTCACAGCCCACCTGGTGTTAAGTGGAGCCCATAGACATCTACAACGTAAATGCGCCACCCACCTTGAAATATAAGTTCTAAGGTCTCAGTATAGTTACAACTTTCCACGCGGACTCACAAAACTCCCTACCACCAGTAATTACACAAATTAAATATTTATTACGGATTTCATTTTTATTACACAACGTTATTCGTTCACTGGGGAATGATTCGTGAATGTAAAAAATTACATATTTCATTAGACAAATTGGTACCTGACGGCGGGATTCGAACACCGACACCGTCGCATCGCTCGATATGAACGCACCGTCGTCTTATCCTTTAAGCCACGACGACTCCTATTATAAAACGGATTAAACATTCTATTCCTTTAGATAGACTAAGGATGAATCTGCGTATAGTAAACATCTTATTAGAAGAAACATTTAATAAAGCCTTTTAAAAACTAGCTATGGGTAAACAACGCAATTGCGAAATGCGTACTACAGCAATATCAGGCAGTAGGCCGGATGTAGCGATAGAGCTATTGTTGTTCTCTTCGTCCATTTCCGTTTCTTTTATGACTCGAGTCGTAAAATTAACACAATTTGAAAAAAGAAAATGCATCGTCAAACAATATTAAGAAAGATATGTAATATTTATACAAATAATTAGGGGCGTAATATCGCATTATGAATAAAGTTAAATCTTTTTTATTATTATCGTTTGAGTAAATGACGTATCTACTTGCATTATATAGCTACTACGATCCAAACCGCATTAGGCACAAGCTGTACTTGTAACAGATTAAAAAGTACTAGAGGCCCCGCAGTAGTCGAAATTCGACTATAATTAATTGGAATTGTAAGTTTGTACACTATTATGATTGTATTTTATACTTCTATAATCACAAATTTCGCCAAGGCTACACTATAAAAAAATATGAATAAAGACAAACAATATTTATTTAATCTATTCTCAATTTGACCACAGACGTCAAGAACAAAAGTTTGACAATAAGTAGTATGCATGCGTGTGTGCGTCAAATACATGGTATGTAATGTGTGTAATGTTTTCTTTATTGATTTAATGTATCTTTTATGCATTATTTAAAAAACATAATAGCATTGTGCACTGCTTCTGTAAAGCTTCGTAAAAAGGGATACAAAGTTTTTGCTTCACGTATTAATATATAGATTTGATTTGACAGATTTCGAAACTATCAGATTTGGAATTTTGTTAACACTCGCTGTTATAATTAGAATTTGTTTTACGGTTTAATATCTTGTTTTTTACTGTCATTAGGTATATAATTTCGGATGTTTCGTTTAGTTTTCATGGTCACGGACGTCACGGTAATTTGAATATTATGCTTACTACTGTGTATTAATCGCCTAATGTTATCAACGATTCGCAAAAACCAAAGAAAATTATCTCCGCAGCTACCTTGTTGTATCAATTTGAACTCAAAGTCAAAGTCTAGTCAAAACTACGGTAGGCAGCGACTTGGCTCTGTTGACATTGCTGGAGTCCATGGGCGACGGTAACCACTCACGATCAGGTAGGACGTATGCTCTTCTGCCTAAGAGGGCAATAAAAAAAAAATTAGATATCAAATTTTAGAATTTAGCAGTCCCAATGGAGATTTTGCTCTGACCGCCTAACAGCTTTCAACACATCTGCTCATAGTCTAGATGACTGACCGCAAGAAAAAAAAAAAGAAGAAAAAAATTCAAATTTTAAACAGATGACGACTGACTGTACATGCAATTTTTTAATGAAATCATATTTATATATACGGTCATTGTTTTATGAATTTCTTGGCACACTTTCACGGGGAGCCCGTATGTTTGATTGTCGGCTCGTTAAAATGTAACGATACCGGGGCGTGTTTTATTGTGCTTTTTACGAGGGACGAGTTACATTTTAGCGCTGCGGGCACTTTATTGCACTGTCATAGACTCGAATGTTTTAGTGCCTGATAAAGCGTAGAGAACGCGTCGTCGCTATCTCCACGCCGCCATTACGTAGCCGACGTTTAATCTATTATTCAAATTAAATCAATTCTTCAGAGTTGTTTTCGTGATCAAACAATCTCGTTTACTTTATTGTCCGTATTCGTAAACGTGTCGGTCGAAATTTGAATGCGTAGTCGATTATCAAACGGGTTTTGATTTTATTCGACTAAAACGATATTTTCTCGTTTCAATCGATTTCCCGTTTAGCTTTAATTTAATTGTGTAACAAGCGTGACTAATTATAAAACGTGTGCTTGTTCCAGATGGTCAGTCCAATCACCTAAACCTGTTCAACTCAAGACCACAACCGAAAAAGAAACGAAAATCCAGAACGGCTTTCACGAACCACCAAATCTTTGAGCTTGAGAAGCGGTTTCTGTATCAAAAATACCTCTCACCGGCGGACAGAGATGAGATAGCCAGTTCCCTGGGACTATCCAACGCGCAAGTGATCACCTGGTTCCAGAACAGACGAGCGAAGCTGAAACGAGACATGGAGGAACTGAAGAAGGATGTCGAAAGCGCCAAGGTTTTATCGGCGCATAAAAGCTTCTTAGAAAACGTTACTGACTTGGGCATTCTGAAAAAGAAAGCCATGAGTATAGGAGCAAGCGAGGAGGCAGCCACGAACCTAGTTGTGAACGCGTCTAAATGAAACGAGTTATCGCGCGCGTCCGACGTGACATACGAAAGACGCGCGCTCCATTTTTAAATCGTATCGATTTAAATAATCGGACTAAATCGAAGGAATCGACTAAAATTTGTGGACATTTAAATTTCGAATAATCGATGTTAATTTTTTCTTTTCTAATTGTAATCCTGACCGTGACACCTTCGAATCTTAAAGGCTGCATTCAGCTGGTGAGTTAAAATTTCATCGTACGGAAAAACTTAGAAACTCACACGAAACTAGAACTCATCGAGCGATTATAAAAAAAATTCGTACAAAATGTTTAACTGCGTATGTAAATATAAAATATTAGTTGTGTAGTTGTTTGTACAAAAGTTAATGAAGAAGCTTCGTTCGAATAAATGTGATAGTTGATTTATTAGTACTTAATAATTTTATAGAGATATTCTTAAATTATTTATTGTGGAACGGATCGTTAGGATTAGTATAAAGAAATACCTTTCAAATAAATATTTGATATAATTATATTATTGAAAGTCAAACAGTTCGAAAATTTAAATCGTTTTCAATTCATTGAGGAGCATGAGAAATGCAGTGCAATAAAAAGAGGTATTTCTTTATACAATTTATTACCAACTAAAGCAAAAATGTACATTCAATATATGTATAAATAGATTAACTATTCCTCTTAAATCTTTAGTTTAAAAAAATATAGGAATTATCGTATTGTAATGATTGGTAAACTTAATTACCTTTTGCGTTTTAAATATTTGCGTTGAATCGATTTTCTAAAACTAAATAGATAAATATGATTGCTGCAATAGTTTTGTAAATACCAGAACTTTTTCTGCCTACTACTAAATAATATTTAAAAAAGCAACGTCTACTATTCTTTGTCTTTTAAAAATTTGACAAAAAACGTTTTACTGATCATATAATAGATATAATTTAGATTTGTATAATTTGCGTAATGACATTCAGCAATCTTATTATAATTAAAGTAATTAAAGACAAAAATGTATTATACACGAAATGTTTCTATGATTCAATCATAAAATAATATTTAGAAGCGACAACGTAATTTTTAAACCAATTCTTTAACTTATTTTAACCTACATACGTCCATGTCGAAACTGTTCTATCAACTCCCAAAAACATACAATAATTCTTTAATTCCAATTTCCAACTGCTAGAGTAGTTCCAAAATGTTGTCTACAAAAATCGTCTCCTTGCATTAAAACTGTATAATCTCAAAACTTACTAATAATTTACAGGAGAGCGTTTTAAAGGTTTTAATATTAATCCTCTTTGCAACATTTATTTTTACCAGTTACATTATATTTCTTTTAAAGTAAGATAAAATTATGTATTAATTTTGTTATTAGTAGTCAAAACATAGGTAAACTAAAAAAATAAATAAAACTAAACTACGCTCTTTTGACAGTATTTATGAGAAAAATACTGGTGATACCAAATGATTCCGCATATTAATAAAATTTTGAATATTTCTGGAAATTGTGCACTTTTAATGCGAAAAGACGAAATGTCCGCCATAAAAATGCGACATCGACAATGATCTCACTATAACTGTCTCGCACAGAGTACCCTAAAAAAGAAAAATAACTCAAACATTCCATTTTCAAACAATCAGAATTGTTTTGACATTGACGTTTAGGTGAAAGACCTCTTGTTCCTATGATAGCTGCTACTTAACCTTGCAATAGCGGGTCGCGATGTAATGTAAATCTATTCGAATATTACTTAGTGTAAATAAACGATTATGTGTTCTACGGTGGATACTTTCATTAAAAACCCTTTAAATTAGTACAGTAGTAGTATTAGCTAAATGGCACAGATTATCTGTGCTAAATGGTAAGGTCAGAGCTTAACTCGTGTTAAGCGATTATTATTATAGCCAATTGAATATATAAGACGAAAGCTGCTGCCCGCCTTAAGACAGGAGATGTTATATTGGAACCCTGCTCTTTGGATTTGAGCGCACAAATATGCATGCTTAAGGCAGAAATGGGTAGACATAGACATACGCTTATTTATATTTTTGTGACTGAAGCACCTTAAACGGAATGTTTCGTTAACAAAGGAGTCATCGTTTTTTCATAGTATCATCTATATTTGGGTAAATCCATACGCTTATCCATGTTGATAGTTGAAGTCTGAATTGGATATTGTATTAGGTCCTTACACATAAAATTGGTGTTTTGTACGGAAGGAATATAAAGTAAATTTTTTTTTGAAAAAAATAATCAAAGTTTGCACCATTGTTATCTATGCACTTTTGCCATCTCATACGTAGTTCATTGATCCCTTTACTAAAAAAACCATGAGGTCGAGAATCAATAAACACTTTGAAGGCGGCTTGGACTGCCGCATCGGAGTAGAAATTTTTTTCCTTTGAAGAAGTTGTCCAAATTTCGAAATAAATGGTAATCTGTTGGAGCAAGGTCCGGGGAGTACGGTGGACGTCGCAGACATTCCAATTGTAACTCATCTAACTTAGTGGTTATTTGTTGTGTAGTGTGTGGTCTTGCGTTGTCGTGAAGCAGCAGTCGCTAAAGCAATTGACCGATCTCGGTTGTTTAACAGCTAGTTCTTCCTTCATGGATTGCAATTGCTTACAATAGATATCTGCCGTTATCGTTTGACCAGATTTTAGAAAGCTGTAGTGAACGACTACGGCGCTGGTCCACCAAACACTCACAAGTAACTTTTTCTGAGTCAATTTTCGTTTGGGGCAGGATTTGGCTGGGTGTCCAGGGTTCAGCCATTGCGACGAGCGCTTCTGATTATCGTGCAGTATCCGTTTTTCATCACAAGTAGTGATTCAAGTAATGATTCGATTTAAAATCCCTTCATTATTGTGTCGGTTGGGCAAAGTAACACAGCAGTCGACGCGTGTTTTTGCAAGTTCAATTCATTTAATTCATGAGGTAACCATCGTTAAAGTTTTGTTACTCTCCCGATTTGCTTCAAGTGGATTAATACAGTTGTATCACTTACCCCGAAACCTGCAGCTATTTCTGAAGTGCTTTGTTATAGATCCGCTTCCACAATAGCCTTTAATTCTTCATTTTCCACTTTGGTCTAAGGCCGTCCACGGGGTTAGTTCTAAAGGTGGAAATTTCTAGAACGAAAACGTTCAAACCAAAAAGATACCATGCTTTCTTTTGCGACACCAGCGTCGTACATATCATTAATCCTTCGAGCTGTTTCTGCACCACTGGTGCCACGGTAGAACTCGTACTCTTAAATATACTGATAAATAGGCGACGCCAAAGAAAAAAAGAATAAGGAAAAAACAAATGAATGACTGTTTTCAAAACTCAAATGTACATACCAGCTAAATTAATCTATTAATTTGAATTTGGAAATCTTAACCAAAGAGGAGAGATATTTCAGATCAATGTCAAAATGCTAATTTCATATACAAGGACCTAATATAACAGCTCATGTATTAAGGTGCTTTTAGGTACCACAAGCACCGGTTACCATTCTCGGGTTGGGCGAGTAAATCAACCCACAGACACAGCCGTTTCTCAATTTCACGCCGGATCTTTTCAGTGGGTCGCGATTCCGATCCGGTAGTAGATTCTGCGAAGTACTGCTCTTGCAAGAGCTAGCGTTAGCAATTCTATTAGGTTGAGCTTAGGTTACCAACGATTAAGTAGGGGGAAAAGTACATAATACTCTAAACTCAGAACTCTATCCAATAATAGAAGACGCTAGTCCAAATTTCGATTTGTACAAAAATATAGCTTTTATAGAAATTCTTATGGATATATACATATGCTGTATTTATTCGTAGCCTAATACCCGCTTATTAAATTGTCAAATAATTCTATACAAATATTAATACGTGAAGCAAAAACTTTGCATCCCTTTTTACGAAAATTGCGCGGACGGATGAGTATGAAATTTTCCACACTTATAGAGAATATAGAGAAGAAGTGCACAATGCTAATATTTTTTTAAAATAATGCATAAAAGATACATTATTTGAATAAAGAAAACATTACACACACTACATACAATGTATTTGACGCACACACGCATGCATACTATTTATTGCACATTTATTGTCAAACTTTTGTTGTTGACGTCTGTTGTCAAATTGAGAATAGATTACTTAAATATTTTTTGTCTTTGTTAATATTTTTTTATAGTGTACTCTTGGCGAAATTTGTGATTATAGAAGTATAAAATACAATCATAATAGTGTACAAACTTACAATTCCAATTAATTATAGTCGAATTTCGACTACTGTGGGACCTCTAGTTCTATACAAATTGACATCTTTCTCTATGAGGTAATCGCAAGAATGCGGATGAGTAAATTGGTATTATTGAACCTTGCAGGATGGATAGTAAACATGGCGCCTATTTTGCGTGAGGTGGGAATAGTCTTTCTTACCATCCAAGATGTTCTAGGAAATCCATACGCCCCTTGAAGGTTATCGATGGTGTCAGGGTGCATGATATTATCAAGTTATACTGCCTAGTAATCTGCTACTGCACTCTCCAGTAAGACATGAGCTACTGTTGAGGTTTCTATAAGAGTTTAGCAGAGTCCACAGATGTCAACAACCCAAATGTCACCATCTTCCTTGAGACACGAGTTCTAAATTTCAGTTTTTATAGTACAACGCCTGGCCCACCCCTCAAGCTAGCATATAAGCAATAAATAAAAAAATACGCATTACTGCTTCACAGCCGAAGTGGGCAACGAAGTGGCACATAGCATCCTCCCAATCCACTCTTGGTGATTTTGGCTTCCCAGGCAATGGTCACGATTCTCATCGAATACCTACGAGAGCTAGTGTGCAACCTAGCCCAGAGACACAGCCCATTGATTTTTTCGCCGGATCTTCTCAACAGGGTGCGATTCGGATCCGGTAGCAGATTCTGCGAAGCACTGCTCTTGCAAGGGCCAATCTTAGAAAACCCTCTCAGGTTGTGCCCTGTGAGCTCACCTACCAAATAACGCGTAGTTTTAATAGCACTTTAGGCTAATGATTAGTTAGGAAAAAACAAAGGAATTCCTTTTTAGGTCACCTATGATAATATTTTCCTTTGTAACATAGTCAATAGGTTTTTGCAACTCACTAGTTGGTATGTAATTCCTCATACTAATGAATAATTAACGCATACAATAAAACAATAGAATCCGATGTGTCTTTACATTGAAATAAAGCAAAATAAATTGAAAGAGGGTAACTAAAGGAAAATATAACATAAAACATGGATTTGTAGAATCATATTTTGTCCGTCTGCTTGTGGTTTATATCTCCGGAGCTACTGAACGGATTTTTGTGTACTTTTCACATGTAAACAGAGATGAATTTAGACCACAATATAGGTTTTGTATCAAATCGGACTTTGACGAATTTCGGTACGGAAATAGTTTAAATCCTGGGAAAATAATATAGGCGATTTTTGGGCCCATTACTAAGTTAGTTTTTACGCCCATGTGGTTGCAAGCGTAACTCACGCAAGCGAAGCTGCGGATGGGAAGCTAGTATCTACATAATATTTTTATAAAATAGAACCTATTCAATAAGGAAGGAACTGTTTACGTTGGTACTTACGTTACATAAATAACAATAAATATACTAGAAACAAGTGACAAAATTCTTGAGAATTCTTCTTCTTCTTAGTCGCATACTTCTTTGCTGAGGGTCGTATCCCTGGAAGCCCTTCGTGGCCCTTTGTACCATCAGCTTCCATTTCCTTCGGTTTTCGGCTTCTCTCAGGGCGGCCGTAACAGAGTCCAGTGAGCGCAGTTACTTAATCTGACCAACGGTTTGGCGGCCGGCCGGCGGGTCTTTTCCCTTCTACCTTGCCCACCACAGTAAAAATTTCAAGATTGTCTGTGCGTATTTGGCAGGACAGTAAAATCTCCAATGCTACCAAGATGAGACTAGTCCGGACGTTGGTTTTCTCGATTTTTCTTTATTGGACGTTGTGGACGATTCGAACAACAGAGCGGAAAAAAATTGAAGCGTTCGAGATTTGGTGTTGGCGTAGAAACGAGACTGTCTACGATTTGCTACCAGAAGGTCCTTGGTTACTTTGGTCACATTGCTCGGCGGCCACCAGACTACCTTGAGAATAATATTCCCCTTTTTTAGACTACTTAAATACGGTTCTGCTAAATAGTGAACAACACATACTTTTGTATTATAAAAGCTGTTGCACGATCTCACGGCCTGTGTGTAGTGTGGCTAACTCAACCCGTAGACTATCGCAACGTGAACGCCTTCGATCTTGAGACCCGAGGCCAGAGTCTGGACTGCA